GGATAACCCAGCCTCCCTCGCCCTCCCGCTGCCCCTGGATCTGTCCCACTTGGGATGTTTCCAGGGCAGAAACTGGATCAGGATCAGGGCTGGGATTGGTCCCAGAGGATGTGATGAATGTGAGGGGCAGTGCTGCTTTATGGAGCAGGCTGGCAGGGCGTGAAGCCATGTTCTTATTTTCCTTAAAAAACTCTGTAGGAGTCCAGGGAAGGTATCCAGCAAGGTGGCTGTGGAATGCAGAGGAATGTGTGGGGCAGGCTTGGAGGGGCAGTGGGAGGCACTGGAGTGGGGATGTGGGGATCACAGAACCCCAGAATTGATAGGGTTGGAAATGACTGGAGACTGAGTAATCCAACCCCATGGGCTTGGAGCAGCAGGAGCCTCCGGAGTGGGAATGTGGGGATCATCCAGAGGGGCAGTGGGACAGTGGGCCCTGAGGGAGGGCTCTGGAGGACACAGCTGGACAGCCCTGGCACAGGGAATGCTGTCCTTGCTGCTCCCTGGCAGAAGGATGGGCTGTGACCCCGGAGCCAGGCAGCATCACACGCTCTCAGCCGCGTGGGCTGGCAGCTGGGGGACCACATGGAAATAGCTTCTCTTCCCTGGGGAAGCTGCGTTGCTGCTTCCAAGAAAAAGTGGATGTTGTAACCCTCACTCCTCACACCATTTCTCTGTACCCTGAGATTATCCTGTTCCCACGCATGCAGGGATTTTTCCTGGTGCACCTGGTTTTGCAAACTTTGCAGGAGAGCTGGAGGGAGGATTGTGTCCCATGTTAGCCCAGGTCATTTTGGGTTAGTTGCATCATCCTCCTCTCCCTGGTGGGATGGAATCACATCTGGGAAGAATGAATTGGGAAACAGGAGGTGATGGCCTGGCTAAACCCTGCATGGCAGCAGAGGAATTCCTGGGATTTGTCCTCCTTCTCCCAGTCTCTCATCCCAGTTGTTCAGATTTGGTTCCCTGAGGAGCTCACTGGAGCCAGACACCAATTCCTACTGCAGCCTGGTGGGAAAGGGTTGGGATTTTCAAAAGCTGCTTAGGGCAGACATTGCATGAAAAATCATTGGCTGTTTGTGCCTGTGCATCCTGTGCCTCTCCTGGGAATGCCATCCTCAGGAAAAGCTTTCTCCAGCCCTTTGTGGCTCAGCACTGTCTTAGGAGTATTCCAGCAGGCAGAGCTGCTCCCTGCCCTCTCACAGGTACTGACAGCTGAGCTTGAAGGTGTGTTCCTTTTCTCCTTTATGGTGTGGTGGAATTAGAAGGTTATGGGTTATTCCTGTGGCTTATGGACTATTCCTGTTGCTTATGGATTATTCCTGTTGCAGCCTACCAGTCTCTTGGAGGCGGATAGGGCTGAAGGGTGGGAGCACACCCTGCCCTGAGGGTGGTGCAGAGCTGCTGGATCCCCCCAGGTGTGTCAGTGTCCCCTGTGTCCCCAGGTGAGGCGGTACCAGGTGCTGCTGGCCCTGATGCTGTCCAGCCAGACCAAGGACCAGGTGACGAGCGCTGCCATGCTGCGCCTGCGCCGGCGCGGCCTCACCGTGGACAGCGTGCTGCAGATGGATGAGGAGAGCCTGGGCCACATCATCTACCCCGTGGGCTTCTGGAGGGTCAGTGCTGCTCTGCTCTTTTAGGGTTTTCTAAGCTTTCTTTTGCGTTTCATGTAAATAACGTATTGTTTTCTGTTTTTTATAGAAGAAGAGAAATTTGGTGGATTGTTGGTTTGTCCATCCAGTGTCATTGGAGAGGTGGCACTGCCACCCTCCAGTCCACTGTCACTTTTAGAAATCTATAAATATTAGAGTCAAAAATTGAAAAGTCTCTTTTTGCCTTGAAAAGAGCAGTGTGTCCACATTGTATTATTTCATGTCCTGTAGTGACAGGTGAGTGCAGCATTGCCACACAGACACAGAGCCCCTATGCCCTCTTCTCTCCCCTGGAGTCAGGCTAGAGGCTGGATTGGACACCAGTTTTGGCACTTTGTATTGCCAGCAGGATGGGATTGTTGGCTGCAGGGCCTGTGCAGGAGGAGGTTGGAGCTCCCAGCTCCCAGCATTTTCATTTCATGTAGAAGCCGAGGCTCTGTCTCCTCCACAGCTCCCATGTGTGGCCTCACCTGTGACACACACTCAGGAATGGTTGCTTTCCTGGGCTGTGTGTCTGTTTTCCCTGTGTTGCAGGGCAGCTTGGACTGTGTGCCTCTCCCCTTGGTTTTGCAGAACAAGGTGAAGTACATCAAGCAGACCACGGCCATCCTGAAGCAGAAATATGGAGGGGACATCCCGAGCACTGTGGAGGAGCTGGTGCAGCTGCCAGGAGTTGGGCCCAAAATGGCTCATCTGGCCATGCACATAGCCTGGGACAGCGTGGCTGGGATAGGTAACCCGTGCTTCTCCCACCCCTCTCCTAAATCCCAGCCCATCCCCAGGCAGAGGGGCAGCAGGGCAGCCCCACAGCCTGCTGACACCCCTTTGGTTCAGTATCTGGGTGGGGGAATGATGTGACCCTCAGCACTCACCCGGGGAGCTGCAGGATGTGAGCAGCTGCTGTTCCTCCCCAAATCTGATAACAGACATCCCCCAGGGAAGTCACAGCCCTGGGGAGCTGGTGCCAGATGGGGCTGGACCATCACCTGCAGGTCCTGCCCTGGGGACAGAGGAGTGTTCCAGAAGGATGTGCTGCTGCATGGGAGAGCCCTGGGAAAGGCAGGAGGGGCGGGTGGGTGGGAGCTGGAGCCTGCAGCCCCAATGGTGACCATCAGCTGGACAGGCCGTGGCCCCTGCCCTGCATCCAGCAGCCCTTGGGGTCTGTTGTTCTCCTGCTGTGGGGGAGGGAAGTCCAGAGGCAGCCAAAGCAGCCAAGTGCTTTCCAAATAATTGTGTGCTCGGGTTTGATTTGGGAGGCAAGGCTCAGTCTTCCTGTTTACAGCAGTTTCCTGGGTTTTGCCCAATTAGCCCCAGAGACAGGTTTATCACCGCTGATCTAACAATAATACACTTTGCATGCAGAGCTTTTGAGCTCAAAGCACATTATAAACACTGCTTTAAGCCTCCCAAGCCCTCTCTGCTGGTGGGTATTATGAAATGTGTTTTCCATGCGGGCAGAGGAAGGGGCAGAGAGCACAGTTTGCGTAACTCAGCTGAAACTCGGGGAGGATGGGAACGTGCAGAGGGAGCAGGGGCCAGGCCTGTGCCTGCTCCATGGGGCTGGGGAGCCTTGGGAGAGGC